GCCCTTTTAACCTGTCCGTTTTCTCTTTGGCTGATGCGCACATCCAAATAAGTGAGGCATTTTTGTCGCTCAGCTTCGAAAGAGACCATCAAGTTGGTATGCGCAGCATTTAAACGCGTCACTAGCCGTGCGATCTGCTGTTCTGATGTACAAAACTCCAGGACATCATCCACATGGCGTTTGTAGTATGGCGCTTGTACTGTTTCTGCGGATGTGCTTCGTTCTACCAACAGCAGAATGAAATCTGCATGCACAGAGCCCAGTGGGCTACCCATGCCTACGCCATCAGTCGGCGATGTGGTATGTTCCTGAAGTGAAAATCGCCATTCCGTGCTCAGAAACAATGGTTCCGTTGATGACTGAACCACTATTGGCAACAAGCGTCTGGGATTTTCTGCTGATTCACAAAAGTAGTCAACGATCTGATGCAGAGAAACGTTAGTATACGGTAGATAAAGATTAAACATCATCAGATAGAATCATTAGTATTCAGCTATTTCTTCATCGTCGCTCCCAATCAGCAGGCTTAGGCTAGTCTGGAAAAGCATCATTAGATACCGGAACTAAGCGAGTGAATGCAAGTACGCCACATTTGTTTCATCATATCCACTAGAATGTCGAATCCTAGATCTAAGCGTCTTCATTTAAAATGATGACAAGTTCCCTGACTTCCTTTTTGGTGTGGCTTATGAAATCATTAGCAGTCACTTGCTGGTAAACAAAGGGAGATGATTTGGGAAGAGATAATCCCTTCGGAAGGACCACTACTGACAAATGTGTTCTGTGAGCGGACTTGCCAGTCTGTAGCTCCATGCTGTCGAGGTTACACGGGCCGACCATCCATTCAAACAGTGGATGAACTCTTCCTGAGTAGTTTCGCACTGAAGGTTAATCAGTTGACTGCGGACACAACCTGGCTATTTTTGCGCAACGTTGCCTTGTTCGAGTCCCTCTTTGTTTTATGATCTAGCTTGGCTGCGGAATCTCCACACTCGCTTATTTCCTTACTAACAACATACAACTTAAAACTTTCTTTTGTGGATAGACTGTGACGTTCGGTAAAATCGTGAAGAGCAAATATGAGCCTAAGGAGTTCATACCAAACACCACTCCGGAAGTACCGAAGTTCGGGATAAATCTCGGTTCTGTTTCTTTTTTCTACTCTGGCATCTCGCCCTGATGAACAAGCCGCTAATCGCAATCAAGTCCTATGAGAACGCAACAGCATTTCATGCACAGCTCGAACGTTGTCCCAACCTGAGCGTGATTATGACCTTGGGAGAACTCGTCTGATGAGTTGTTTCGTTAGCGACTAGATAACATCTGTCGAGTGGAAGTAGAGGTTCACACAGTGTAAGCAACCTTGATTGGTTACAGACTTCGCTAAGCGCACCATCAACCTCTTCCTTGGATAGCAACCATTATGTAAAGCACAGAAAATGAGTACAACTGGCATAATGCGAATATCTTCCATCACTATTCGCTTGGTAGGCCACGCACACGTTCTAATTGAGCACAGCTTCCGTGCGTTTGTCTTTCAGTAAAACGCAATCCTGTAAACCATGCACTACGCCAGAGACATGCGCAGACCACGACAATCGCACACCCATATATCGCCCATGCGGGAGCACGATGTCGCCTGTATAAAAACGATGGGTACCAACTATGGGTGAAGTTATTCATACGATGGGAAAATAACCTAATTTTGTCATTGTTTACCCGGTTTGGGTGGCATTGATTTCGCGTGACTTCTAGCACTCAGCCGCTAACTGCCCGTTGCACTTTTCCGTATGTGACCTTATGAATCGAGCCTGCATATCATGCGACGCTTCGCGGCGTGTAGCGCGCGTCCTCCACAAGTTGCTGTTCTGCCTTAGTGTCTCTGGGAAATACTATGGTTAAATCTCAGGTACACCCACAGCATTTTCCCGAGTAAGATGGCCCCCTCAGCGACATCTGTCTTATTTATTGAGACCATTATCCCTACACTGCGCAACCGGCCAATCTTAGCAGAGGCTCGCACATATTGTGAGTGTGGTGAAGGTCATATCACTTCAGTCGCATGAAACTGTAGACAGATAACTGTGCAACTGTGAAGTCAATCAACTAAAGGTCTGTAGTAACAGACCGTATGCAAGAACATCACTGACTTTATCGCGTAGTGTCTTACCTGCTTTCCAACCGCGGTTGTGGTCGTCCACAGTTTGTTCCATTGTGCCATGCTATATCGGCTGGTTGCGTTGAGTTTTTATCCTCTTCAATGCAATATTGGCAAACAATGAATGACAACGCATCTGCTCCAGCCAGCTTTGGCGATGTGTTTTCAAATCAGCGAAATAGTTCCTTTTCTATACTTCTCTTCAGGCTAATGCATGTATAAAAAGTGGTTAAAATTGAGACAGGCTAAGATAGCTGGGCTAGAGTGGATTCAGTCTAAACTGGCTGCTTTATCTATTGATCAAATTATTCAACCGATGAAGGTACTAACATATATGGGGTCGCGGAGTCACCGCCTGAGATCGAATTAAGCGGCGCTTACGGTGAGATCAGGTCCAGGGCAAATATAGCGTCTGTACTAGCGCCCTCTGTTTGCACAGTTCCGGTTGCATTAGCCGGATCACAGTGGCCTCGGCCGTCATTAGTAGACGCCTTTTAATCCATTTTGTGTGGCGTTTTGGTGCAGCGTAGACAAATTTAAGCGCTTCTGAGATAACAACTTGATAACCGCTCTGGTTAAATGTTCCCATATAGAGATGTTGATATGTTCAACTGTTCGCTTTCATAATCCTGTTGGGCAATGTTCTGCTATCTGTTTGGTCAAGTGTCTGGTCGTGTATCCGAGGCATTTCACACCACAGTGCAAGTAAATTGATATAGGATATAAGATGCGGACATGACCGGGAGTCGATCCTTAAGACGTTCAGTAATATACGGGGCAGTTTCTGCAACAACATATGAGTAGGAAGCAGGCAACGACTTGGATATTGCATTTAGGAATCTCCTGTTCAATAATTCGAAGGCTACCTCTTTAAAAGGGAAAGAAAGATAAACATCCTTTTTCGGTACCGTCACAGTTGTTTCTCGTCGGTCACGGATCACAGAATGTCTCCGAATTAAGAGAGAGGGATAACCATTATCCTGTGGCGTCCTAAGGATGCGATCCTCTTCGCTTTCCAAAGTTTCTGGACTACAAATTTGGCTAGCAAGATAACACTGTCACCGAACTAAGTTTCGTTTGTACTAAAACGGTACAAAGCTACGAAAATGTGTATATTGGCCAATCCAAGTAGACTTTCGATAGACATTTCTCTAGAGAGCGCCATCCTCACGTATACTTAGCAGTATATCCAGTAAGGTTAACTTTCCATCGCTTTCATTTTCGCATCTAAATTTCAAGAACGGCTGCACGCTATTGAATTTATTCAGCAGATGCGCTACGTCAGCGTTTGAATCACAACTAATAAAAGTAGCATCCACGTATCTCCGTTAGGAATGAAAAGACGTGATAATTTGTCGGAAAGGTCCACCTTCAAGTTTGGCAAGCAAAATATCGGCAAGCGATGGCCTTAGTGCCCACCCCATCGCAACTCCATTTCTCCATCTATAATAACATCCTTCAAACAGGAATTGCCTGTCAAAAGTACAAGATTCTTCAATACGAGTACTGGGATACCAGCATCTATATGCTTTTATGTCATATTCACAGACGAAATTGACAGTTTCTAACAACGGAGCGTTTGTGAAAAGTGCTTCCACGTCGAACGATAGCATTAATTCCTCATCTACTGTCACATGTTCCACCAGTGCAACAAATTCAAAGAAATCTTTTAAAGTATGAATACACGGTTCCAACAGTTCTATTATCCATTTGGCGACCTTGTGGAAGGCGGAGGCAGATATGTCAATAATCGGTCGTGAGGGGACCTGCGGTTTGTGCACTTTAGGTAATCCATAGAGTCGGGGTGGATGTGATCCTACTGGAGTTAGCTGTTCAAATAGTGAGGCACTTATGACATTAGAATTTCGCAGTTCCTTCAACGAGCTTGTGCGTTTTGTCTCATCCTGCTGGGTTCTATTTCTTTATACTGTGTCGCTCATGAATCTGCTAGTGTTGAAGTATTACACGCATGTTGGGGACCTAGTCCGATCTGTCCATCAGAACCCATCCTGCACCTTTGTCTGATCAGGAAATGTTCAGTTCGGAATTCGATCTCAGTTCCGTGATGGCATCTCGGTGTCTCTTGGACAAGAATTTGGAAGGTTTTGTTTCATTGGACGTATACTGCTGGCATAGGTGTACCAACGTGGTTTTGAAAGTGTCACTGGCAAGGGGTTGAAATAGAAGTCAAATCAGACAGTTGATGCAGTAAGTTTTCAAACTGGGTTTCTAAATGAATTTGTCCATGGCGTGGTTGGGAGTGGCAAAGTTTCCGACTCATTGCTAACGCCTCTAGTTGCAACTAATTTATTTGGACGCTTGACAGGTTGTGTTTTGTGGATATTTTTTGTGTCCTCAAGTTGTCTGCCGCCCAACACCAAATAAGCCTGTTAGGCCAAACGACTGGTTAATTTCCGAGGTCTTCGGACACCATCGACTAACGAGTTTGCTTCCTATTGCGTTATCGCCGTAGCACAAGGGACAGAAACACACAAATTTACTATTTTTCCACAACACCACCTGGGTGAGTGGAATATCTCTCCTGATGCGAAACCTTTAAAAAGCAGCTTCTTATGTTGAACCGTGTCAGAAACCATTTTATTGACTTCTTACTTGACTTGCAGCCCAATTCACTTTGAGCATACCGTTCCACTCTGATTGACGCCGCATCGACCCCATCATCTGTTCACCCCAGGCTTCCTAGTCTTCTTTAGTGTCCAGTCCCCGCGTTTGTTCTCAGTCAACTATATTCATAGATTTACATTTCATCACAATACGCTTTACTTTACGTTAACATTTCATTCCGTTAGTCTTTTCTTTTGGCACATTACTGCTTTTCCAGAGGACAAACTATACCATACTCGCCAAGCGACCTGTTTGCTCCAAAATCAATACGACAGCTTTTCGAAGTCAATCTCGGACGCCCGGTACGTCTACTTCTTCTTGTGTTTTCTCCTTGATATATATATATATATATAGTGCGTTACCAAAACTTCAGACAATTCTCCTGGTGCCAGCCAAGTGACACTTCATAAACTTTTCGCCGTTCTGTGTGTGTTCCTGTTCTGACTGCATGTTCTCCTGAAACTAACCGAAGCAAAGAGTCGTGTCCCTGCCTACCTCCCTTATGCACGGAAGCCGCTAGATCGGCCCCGTCGGTGACTATAACTCATCCTGTATAGCTCACCGATAGATTAATGCGCCTTCCTGTTCACTATCACTTCGAATATGTTCTCTATCTGTCATACCATAGCACCGTTTTGTGCATCACAATCATTTGCCCCCTGTATTCCTGTGTCTGCCTTGTTCTACTTCACCAGCTTTACCTCACCATCGAGACGTGAGTCTTGACTCTAACTTAATCCGAATTTCAGCATATTTGCTGTTTTTCTCAGAGGTATACTCTTTCTGAATAAGTGAACCACTCGGATGTTAATCTATCAGATCATCGCTTAGATAGACACTTCTTACCCCGCAACTACTATCACCACAGCTAATTATTTCTCTTGTAGATCTCGCTTGTCTCAGATGGACCACGTTTTATATCGTCGAACCGTCATACTTCTGCGCGAAATGATCGACCTCTTCGATGAACAGTTGTTTCTGTTCGAACCCAAACGAGGTGGAGCGGTCGCACTGGACAAATCTGAGGTTAGTGGACAGCATACTTTTTTCCGACGAAATATCGTTAGGCGCTCAAATTCCGACTATCCATTCAACTTTGCTACCGTTTTTCCCATTATGGATGTGGAGTGGTTAGCAAGGTGCCTCTGGGTCACTCAAGTCTGTGTAACTTAAAGCATGCGTTCACGTTGTCAATGGAACTTACATTTTGGCGCATTGAATTCCATAGAACAATTTGAACAATACGGTAGGAAAACGAGTACTGTGACGTGGTTCCATTTCGTGCCATCTCATCACAACAACATCGTCCACGTGAGGAGTCTGTCATTTTGAACTGACTCAGAAGGGAACAGACGCAAGCACAGATCAATGGATGTGGGCTGTTAGCAAACGGAATGAACCTGATGGAAGCTCCCAAGCGAATGTTGGCTACACGGCGAGCTGCATGTGACCGATTGTAGACCACAGCCTCGGCGAATCTAAGCACTTTGGTGTTTTTTTTGTTAACTTACCGTGAACGTACATTCGGGTTCAAATTCCTTACCTGTTCCGATCTGGTGTCTATCGGTAGAGTAGGCGGGTAGCTAACCTGCTTCCAATGTTTATTTGTCTTACATATTTAGCTGCTTCTGTTCATACATGTATCAAGTTGCGACTGATGAGAGTAATTGGAATGTTAACACGTCGCAAATTACTTCTTCTGTCCGTGTTGATGAAGTGGTTAAAGTTGACTCGGTAGTTCAAGGTAACTCGCTGCTTATTGGAGCTGTACCACACCTGTTCGTACTTGGCCGCAATCTTTCGGTACCCTCGTGATTCATCTTGATTGCCACACGCTGACTGCATGCCATGAGATGGTCGATGATATACTGCGGAAAAGAGCCGAAGCTCGACATTTCCTGCCGGATGGTTGGTTAGGGGTGAGCTAAATGAAGGCAAAAATAGAAATAGGAAATAGGGAAAAACCGCAAATTGTGGGTTACAGTGTTCCCGTCTGTGCAGTTCACACCTGGTTTTCTGTACTATCCAAGGTTATCGTTTATGATTTCAGGGTGGAAACGAAGATGCGTTGATTTGCTTTTTCTGCTGTTTGTATGTGTCGTTTGGGTTACGTGATATGGTGTAGTAGGGCCAGTACACTGTCGACGATGCTTTGAACACAGCTAACGTGGGGGCTGAAATAACAGCTTTTGAGAGGGTATTCTAAGTGTGACAACCACGCAGCGAAAAGAAGTTTCCTCGACACTCCAACCGACTGTATTGTTTTGCCAATTTGAGATGATGACCTCTCCGTTGATTGTTGTGACTCAGCTTCAACTGATGATGGCAGGGGTGATTAAAGTTGTTTACAATTTGGTAAGCCATGATTAGGTCATCGCGCAAACGGTGATAACGTGCGCTGGAAATGCTAAGCACTCTGAGGCGCTGTTCGTATGACAAGTGGCGCAGCCGCTTGACATTTTCGGTCGCTCGACGTTGTGGAATCTCCAAGACAGTGAGATCCCGCTTTGGCCATGGGTGCCATGCTTGATTTGCATATTCAACTTGAGGGCGTATGTAGGCGGGAAGTATTTGGCGGAAAATAGACGGTTCGAATTCCGTAAAAGCCCCACGATTCGCATCCCCTTCTTTGATGCCTTTTTGGGCTGCTCTTAGCAGCCGAGATCCTCCTGGACCGGCACACGAAGATCCTTTTCGAGAACACAGTGTTGTAGATCCTGGTCCTCCAGCTTATATTTGTGGATCATTCGGTGTTGTAAATGGAGCACTCGACATTTAGCCACATCGAATAGAATGCGTTTTTGGACTGATCATCCATACATCTTGTCAATGTCGTTATGAAGACGGATACGGTCTTCTGGAGCTCTGATCACTCGCCAAACTTTAGTGTCATCGACGTAGAGTCAACAGTTTGACTTACTTTGGTTCACTAGATCATTTATGAAGACAAAGAATAGACGGGGCCCCAGTACCGAACCCTGTGACACCCCGCATTCGACGTCAATTGGGTCTGACATGGATTCACGTACTCCAGACGCCTCCAGACGCCTGTGCGGGAGAAAATTGCAGGTCCATCCAAGGAGATGATCCCCAATGCCACATCTTTGAAGTTTGTCAAGTAGGATACGATGGTTCAACCGATCGAATGCTTTAGAGAAATCAAGGTATGCTACATCAACTCCTGAACCAGCATCCACCTTTTCGGTCCAGCTGTCTCGTGCTAACAATAGGTTAGTTGTGCACGTCCGATTCCGGCAGATGACATGTTGCTGCTGAGCACTGTGACCAAAGCCGTCCAGATAAGACATGAGTGCGTCCGCAACGGTAGCCTCCACAACTTTTGAAAGAACTGGCAGAGGACTCACCGGTCGCTAATTAGCTGGATCGGAATGACTACCCCCTTGGTAAATGGGAGTTATTATCCCGTGTTTCCACGTTGCTGGAACGTGCCTCTCGTCAAGGCGGTGCTGGAACAGCCGCACCAAGTGTTCAGCTAAAATGTTAGCCACCACAACTATCATCTTTGGGCGGATGTCATCAATTCCTGGACAAGTGTACAGGCGCATGGATAGCAGCTTTCTCCTCACTGTGTTTGCCGTAAAATTTATGTGTGAGTCCTGGTGGAAGTACTATACTTTTCAACGTTTCAGGAGACCACCGAATGCAGTGAAACATTGGTACATATTGCCGTTGCAGAACCTTCGACGCTTGTTTAGCAGTTTGTGTTAGACCATTTGCTGTCTGAAGAGTTGGAAATCCATTTTTCACCTTGTAGAGGCTGTTCACGTGCTTGTACGGAAGCTTAGGATCGCTCGACTAAGACATGTTGATAAGCTAATTTATCCTCGCGCACTAATTGGGGTACATTGGTTACGGTGGACAACGTATGTCTCGGATCGGTTTTGTGGGTATACCACGCCGTGTTGCGCATCACCATGCATTTGCGTGTTCTACTCCGTATAAACGACGCAATGTTTCTCGAACTGATAGTCTTGGTTTCCGATGCTCCACTAACCAAGGTGTTAAACTTACTGACGAAACGTACCCAGACAGTGTCCTGTGCATCCTCTGTTAGCAAACTCCAGTCGGTCGCCCCAACCAGTCGGGTTAAGATGTCGTATCTGGTTATTGTGCGAGTCGTCTGGGTTCTGTCCTCGGGGTGTTCAACATAGCAAGTGTACATAAAATACAGAATCGCATGATCACTGTGGCCTAAAAGAGTATCGATTGTCACGCTCTTGACCATCAGCTCTGCATTAGTGAATATCCGGTCCAATATGGATGGCCTGTTATTTCCCCTCAATCTGGTCGGTAAAGTGACGTGGCCATAAAGCGGAAAGTCAGACATGATCTTGCAGATCTGCTTTGAATTGCTCTCTTGGTGTGGCCTGGGATCTAGAGCATGTATGTTAAAATCGCCGGCGATTGCCATGTGACTGTATCTCCTGTTTATCACCTGCCACAATGCAGCCACTAACTTGCAGTCCATCTCAGGTGTAGACGATGGTGGGCGGTAAACAACAGCCATTAGGCCAACGTTGTTCCCTCTTAGCCGTATGCTGCAGTAAATGGAGTCGGGTACATCAGTTTCCGAAGCGTGTATGGGTTTGCACTGCAGGTTGTTTCGACAGTAGAGGGCTACCCTACCACCTTTGATGGTTCGATCATTCTGGGCGAGGGACATACTTGTTAGCGCGAATTCGGCATCCGTTAACTCAACCTTCCGTTAACGCAACCATGTTTCCGTGATAGCGATGAGGTCCCAAACTGCTGACGCGTGTCGTAGCCGTAGTTCAACTAATTTGCTGAGTGTAGACCTTGGGCATTTGTTCACATGCATGAGAGCTTCTCGGAGACTAAAAGTGTGTTGATTGTGATGTATGAAGCGAGTGAGTTTACGCCGACCGATGATAGGTCGGCGGCTAATCGTTTTTTGGATGGGTTGCAGGCTCTCGAGACGAATTTGGTATATATTCAAATATCAGATGTCCGTATCCCGGTAGTCGCTCATGCTCTGCTGTGTCCCTCCGGTGTTATGGCTACTGTTGAAACCGTCACCAAGTCAGGTCCTGCAGTTGGTGTTTTCAGTGAAATTTGCGCCGACACTGGGTTGTCATTAGAACGTGGTTTTGTTTCCGCTACTTTCAGATGAATTTCTGTTGGCACTGTGTTACGGAACTTAGTCCAGTACTCTTGTAGAGTTTGTGCCGTTAGTTCTGATTGTAACATCACTTTCAACAGCCTGAGACCGCACCCCTTGTAGTTCGGTGATACGGGGGTCCTTGTCAGCGAGGTGACAACGACATTTTCGAGAGAAAAGACCTCACAGATGTAGTACCATTGCTCGCGGTCTTGTAACTGAGCGTCGTCGGAAGAGGAATCTTTAAGCTCAGGGACAACGTGAACAATCACAGTTTTCTTATGTTGACTTTTCTGTTTCTCTCTCTGTTAGTGGGATCCGCTGAACCTTCCTTCCACGGGATTTCAGGTAGTATGCGCCCTCCACTTGAGGCGTTGCGGAGTCGATTCGCAGACAGCAGAATGGCCTCTGTCTCATCCATCGAGTTCAATGTTGCCCGACCTAACTAGGGTTCACTGTAGTGCAGTGCGTTTGGGTGATGCGACATGCGTTTTAATGTCGTGGGAGCAACATGGACACCGATCGCTGTACAGATGGTACTCCATTAATTTCCATCGTCTGTCAGCCTTCCCTTAATTATATTGGATTTGAATTCGGGAACATTGGTACACACAAGGTTTAAGGCACCATGGTTGCGCATGGTGGTTACTGGTTTTGGAGCCTTATTTTCTGGCGCTTTTGGTGAATTTGTGAACGACACTCATGGCGGTCATCCGTGCTGCGACACTTGCATTTTCTCTAATCTGGCCACCAAGGTTACCGAGTGCTCTTTCCGGTGTGATTTGCGGCAACCGATGCTTATGTTACCTGGTTCCTCATTATGGCTGGTTGACTGCAGCTTAGGGTCTCCTGTATAGCGAACAAACTACTAGGTGTAACACCCTGTAGAGAAGTTGTGGCGAGCACGCTGCAGGCAGTGTTTTTATTTATAGAAGAGAGAGAGAAGGGAGTTGGTACTGTTGGAGACTGAAACGGGGTGAAGTTGGGATGCCTGGCACTCTTCTTCGGCCTGAATGGGGAATTCGGGGTGTTGTTTTCATATACAAGTGCTTGTCCGTTTCCTCCCATTGGCATAATGCTGGTGCTCACCTGTTGTTCGACTGCTTCTGTTAATCTTTCACACTTCAGTAGCACAGTTAAGGCAGCTTACAACTGGGATAGCATTGCATACTTGGTAGAACAAAAACGACTCTGTCGTTTCTATCGACCCCATCCCAAGACATTTAGTGTGATAAGTTTTCAAGCAACTGCAGCACACGAGCCCACTCTTCACCATTTTAACGTATAATTCACACTTGCTCTTAACCTGAGGTGTGTTCACAGAGGGCGTGCAATTTTAAGCTCATGCGTTTGTCGAACGATCAGTTAGTGCAGCTTCCCGCGTCAACGATAAGCGTAAGTCAACGGTTGTGGCACGATCACTGTCACCAGTGCTTCTTGTAAACACACGTTTCATTGTTGATCAGTTGATTGATCGATGTTAGACCCAGCTGGTTTGGGACCCAGTAAATAAATTTAAACACAACACTGAACACAAATGGATAGATCACAACTTCTTTCACAATTGCGTCGAGAAACACCGGATTGGAATAAGCTCAGACTTTTCGGACTGCCTCGAGACCTCTGTATCGAATGGTGTCACACAGAAGGTCAATCGGCTCAACGTGATTGAGTTATCCGCTTGCGCTTAATCACGGATGACAGTAAGGACTTTAATTGTAGCAGATAATTTCACGGATGATGGATCACTGTGTAGGGCTGATAAATCCGGTTCGAATGAGCGTACGGTAAATACGCTGCGAGGAGATGGAGACATGATTGAGAGAAGTAATCCGAATGACCCATGAGCGCGCGTATTACGCGTGTGCAATGCTATCAGCTTGCTCTAGATATACCACCGGAAGCGTTTCCGAACACTCCGCGTGTCATTGTCACCGTCGGATTTTGAATTTATGTGTCACAGTGGTCTTCACTGTCGGTATAACTACTTACCTACTGTTCACAAGTGGATTGTGCCGCTTTGTTCTTAATTCACTCGGCTGGAGTCTCCTACTCCTCGCGTGTCTCACAGTTGCTTATATCCACCGATGCCCAGTGTTATTCGACTTTGCGTGATCCTACTGTTTTCCCCTAACTACATATGATCCAATCGTTTCAACACGATGCTAATAATTCACTGCTACGAAGCATACTTATCTGAGGGGAACTAGCTAACTTAGCAGAAACTTGATCGAGAAAGTGTCGAAAAAGAATCGTCGAGTGAAATATTTTGGCGACCACCCTATGTAAGCAACAAAATTTTCTTGGAAGGTTCGAGTGACGCGTTTCCACCGGGATCAAAGAATCATCAAATCCGGAACTAGATAACGGTAATATGTACAAATGAATAAATGAGCATATACAATAAATACCTTAACGATTATGCTTCCAAACTCAGGACAATTACAATGACAATCGGTTGGTCCAAGTCGACAAATCCAGCTTCAGTACGTGCTGTAAGAAATCACACTACTAAGGTACAAGACATGTTTCTAAGACGGTTAGAGCAGTGAGATTAGTTGTTCACCGGTCCAAAAAGGGATGCGGATTGGGTAAGCCTCAAGGAGGTGTGAAGTTGGCCTGTGCGGCATGTTCACCAACTGAGTCACAGATGCACATAGACAAAGGAGAAAATGATCAGACAGGCTCGTCCGGTGGGGACAAAAGTTCAGTGGACAAGTATAATCGGTGAAGGGTTAAGGTCAGCAAACGACCCTAATCGGTGCAGTGCTAAGTGTTGACAATCATAAACAAGGTTAGACAAATGTGTGGAGGTAATTTAGGATTGTGGGAATGAGAGGTGGTAACAATTCTAGGGAACGTAGGGCGGAACGAGGCGGAGATGGGGTTTCACGATGAAATGGGGAAGTATAGTCGTAATGTTTGCTAGGGGAAAAGATTATGGAGGGGAATTGGGATTGCGACTTCCGAATGTTCTCCACACTGCCCGTCAAATTCGATCCAGAATTTTCATTGCTTGACGACAGTGCGGTACAGTTCTGATCCACCCTAACCCACTCTATCCACGATGGGTGGATACGGGACTTACAACGGTACGCCTGCACTTCCCCCCACTTTGGCCCGTTGACCTCACCGTGGTCCTCCACCTGCGGAGAGACAACGTCTGGAACTATTTCCTCATCTAAGCCACTTCCTTCTATCAAACAGCTGCTTGGCCGCGCAGTCTACAACGATTCCGAATTTTCCCGGCTTTCTCGCGTTTATAACAGGATAATATGGTAGATACCACTTCGGAGTATAACCAGGTCGCAACTGTTCGAATAGCACGAGAATCGCATACTTTTTCTCGACGTTCACCACCCCTTTTCCAATGAATTTTTCTTGTAGTGATGGATTAATAATCGGCAGTTCCGACACTACAGTTGATGCCAAGCTAGCTCATAGTTTTTGGGAACCTTCGCTCGCCAAATTTTCCACGGAGGAGCTAACTCGAAGTGTCCATCTAACAACCGCCAGGGTTGGCCTATATCTCCTTTCCTCTTCAACTTTGTTCTTGAGATGATCGTGAGTGGCTCCGTTCTTTCAGACTATACCGGAGTGGAAGTTCTACCGGGTGACCGACTGACAAATCTGGAGTATACGGACGACATAGCTCTTCTTCGGTCCCACGCAGCGGCTATGCAAACACTGCTGGACAGACTGACGCGTAGTGCCACACGCTTCGGCATATGCTTTACACCTTCAAAGTGCAACGTACTGCTACAGGACTAGACCAACACACCCGGTTCTAGCTATCACCGAACAGCCACTGGAACTGGTGAACAGGTTCACTTACCTTGGTAGCTGTGTCACCTATGTTGGTCACCTCACCGAGGAACTTACTTCGCGTATCAGCAAGGCCTATATGGCTTTCCAGAGACCCAATCATCTATGGACACGGCAGGATATCAGCCTGTCTGTGCAATAAATGTAGGGTGTATAACACTGCGGTAAGGTTGGTCTTACTGTATGGATCCGAAACCTGGCCAGTTCGCGGTGAAGACATTTAACTCATGGCAGTGTTTGACCACCGGTGCTTATGGAGCGTTGCTCACGTCTAGTGTGAACACCGGATGAGCGATGTTGAGGTCCGCCAGTTGGTTTTTGGCAAGAAGCTTGGCTCCTCACTGGAGTGTTTTCTGAATCTTAATCACTTAAGTTGGCTAGGCCATGTCCTCCGTATGCTCTTTGACCGGCTTTCTCAGCGTGCATTATACTCCGTGGCTGCACTAAGTTGGGTGAAACCGCAAGATGGCCAGTCCATGACGTGGCATAGTGGCATGAAGAAATTGACTGCGAGACTTGCTCAGGCTGGTGCGTGCCATCTTCGTGGATCGGCACCTCTGGATGGTCCACACCGTATCAGACATTGTGCAGTCATGCAGTCAGTGGCGTTCTCTCATCTGGTTGTTTATTTTGCTTCCTTTCTGATTACTTTATCGCACTTTTTCCTTCTTTTCATTTTCTTTGCACTCCATTTATCATTCGCCGCACTGTTATTTAGTCATTCTTGTAATTTGAGTTGTGACAATTGGATCCACCGCACTTCGGTGCTCGGATCATAGTTGATCAACTTAAGCGGGACTGATCTCACCACTACTTGCTCCTCACTGCCGCCACTCCCAATCACGAATTCACTCGCTGTGGTTAGTATCTATCTCTCAAGTCCGCGCACCCCCTATGTGATACGACCGGCTGATCCCATTGCGATATTTCCGACTATCGCCTGGTATTTGGGCTTTCCGGTAAATTTACTAACTCATGGAGTTTCTGTTATCTCCATCCTGTACTTTGATACTAATTTCGTGTCACTCGTATGATGGACTCTCGGTCTTCCACACTAAAACCAATTCGTTCTTCTTTCATCAACACACTTAGCATCTCAGTGAATTTTGTGGTTATTGAACAGGTCCTGTCTGACGGCTGTTTATCATCACGGTGCACCAGGTGCAAGCAGCAATCTAACGTACTGGTAAATCTGCAGTTTAATGATCAACTCACATATTTTTGTTTTGTTTCACGCTTCAGGACATTGAGTATTCTCATGCCGCAGACTTGTCTCCACCTGATACAACTAGCCTCTCATTCGGGATCGGCCAGACAAGCAACAGCGCATCACAACAATCTCATACCAACTTGACAGAGCTGACTCCCGTCCCACAAGATCTTCGACTGCCATCAGCTTCGTCGGAGACCACCGACGCCCATTCCCTAGCTATCGGTTCAGGGTTTGTCGCCTACTTACTTCGAGTTTTATCCGCTGTGTTGAACCAGCCCCTCCGGTATCCGGTGGACATTCGCGATGGATTTTCAAGGGCTAAAATTGTCGATCGATTAGCACCGGATTTAATTGAAGCTGAACGGAGGTGAATTTGCTCACTGATTTACGAAAACCCCGATTTAACTATTCTCCTAAACTTTATTTTTCCTACCGCTTTATACCATATTCCGGTTTTTAATCACCTGGTTAATTGCGTAACCTATGCCCTGCACGGTATCGTCGGATATCCTCTGTGCCACCATCATACACAACTTCACTGATCATTTGACTTTGGATTACACTGCGTGGGATGTGTTTCAATGAATCAAAGAAAAATCCATCGGCTTAACTGGGGCGTACAATAGTCAAGAAACAAGGAAGCCGGTCGGTGGATTAAACTTGGTTCGGGCGACAGAGCAGGGCAATACGGCGGTCTACCACACCATCAGGGACCCAGATCAAACGAAGCGCGAGGCAGTCAACATATTTTACGGAGAAATCGACCGCAATCTTTCAAACTAAGCAGTGTTAATGCCTAGTAACTCATGTTTGCGAGATGACAGTGAAGAGTGAAAAAGGTTTAAAAACCATACAAATGAGATCTAGCCCCCATAAATTGTAGCTACAGGCGAGGTATCCATGGGAAATGCGAAACATTAATTATGGAAGCGAGTTAACGCTTATATATATATATATATATATATATATATATATGCGGTGGACTGCATAATTTTACTAAGGTACCTGAAGTGTATGGATTCGACCCGGAAACCGAAACAACTGCTTTATGTCCAACTGTGTGCGTGGAAACGGTACGTGGAAAAACCGAAGTTACGATAACAGAATATGATCAAAGTGCGCCTATCACGTTCTAATGTTGATTACAGGTCATAGGAATCGAAAACGGTTGATCGGTTTGCATGGCGCGATCTAATCACGAAGGTATTTGCCGAGGTGCAAGAAGAAGCCGTCTTGAATGCAGCGAAGAAGCGGCAGTTACGGAAACGATAGTCACCGATGGGGTGTACTCCATCGACGTCAAGCGCATTGTGCTGTAGCACATTCGGTCGCGAATGCTTGGGTCAGACAGGTTTAGTGATCCACGAGCGTGGCCACTCGGGTCCAGCATCGAAACGACGACGAGTCCTGGTGAGAACGTAGACAGAAACGGCTCAGCGTTGATAGGTACGCTGCATTCGATCTACTAACCGCGTGCTTGCATGCTGTTTCTTTATTTCAGGTGACTGGTTTGCTACCTTCTCTTAGTGTCATTTTGTTTCATTTTAATGTTTACCTGAATAATCTATTAAAGTACGCATTTGCTTAAACTAAAGGTGGTTAACTTCCATTATATTTTCTTCTTATGTGTCTTGATCCCTTTTCCCGTCATTCTGGATCTATCGCGGCTATTTTTCTAATCCATTTATTTCAGATGCTAATTTAGCGGCATATCCATACGGTGTATTCGACTTATTTTATTTGATATCATCCTTTCAGGCGATTGGCTGTTGCTTGACATCCCCGCTGTCGCTGCGCTTTATGTGCATGTTGACAAGGTGCCGACCTGTCTATTACCCACTTCCTCTCTATGCTGGCTCCAGGAGACAGTGTGTCGTTACTGTAGGGGACGGGTGCACGGTCCTTGTGGACGTACTAGGCTCAAAGAATGGTTCCATGCACTCAGTTTGAAACGGACTACTGTCCATCCACCGCCTTGTGTGCGCTTGATTCCCAGCTACAGCGTGCCTGTGTTTGTCTGTGAAGCATTGTGGGGCGGCTCCGTTGATGAAACGTGGCTCCCATCCACATGCCTCTCAGTCTTATTCCTTCGGATTTACACTGGATATGGGGCATGTGGATGGAGCTGTGGGTGTTGCAGCGCAAGCCATCCATGGTCCCTCTGTAGGCTCAGGCGTCCTGTGGCTTGCCACATTTGACAGGCAAATCCGTAACCGGGTACCGCCAACTCTCTCTCTCTCTCTCTCCATATATATATATATATATATATATATATATATATATATATATATATATATATATATACACTGTTTGGGGTTGTGGTATTGGTTACTTCGTTTTCGTTTTTTCTTTGGCCGCTTGTCATTCGTTAATCATACTGTGCTTTCAACTCTTTCCTGATAGCCTTTTAACCATTATCCATTGTTGTTACTTGTCGTTTAGATAGTACCGCGATCCACTAGATCCAGATCACCTTTGGATACCGGAATCAAACTCGGCTATCTAACTTATACCTTCTTCTTAATGACTTTGTTGTTCCGGTTTTTGTTCTAATTCACTCTATGTGTGTTTCGTCATTTGGCTAAATGCAGCATGGATTACATCAGCAAGCTATCCGACTGGCGCATTCCTACAACTTTTTTCCTACAGATCGTTTCTAGCTGGTCAGCACCAGTTTCACGGGGTTCGCCTTACTGACTAGACTTAAGGCATTAGCCTTGCTTATCCGATGTTTGACTGTTCACTGTCACGTTTCCGAAGGTTCCTTCTTTCTGTTGGAACGCTTGTATTTATTCCACCAGCCTCTCGCACCACATACCACGGCATGCATCGTTTTCTTTCCTTCGTACGTCTTATTTGCCTGTTCTTCCGTTTTATTTTGTATATAGCGGCAAATACGATTTGTTGTCGACTATCTAGCTATCTGTTCGGGTTCGCTAGTTGTTTTGCGATTATCTTCATCGATGACAACACACTAAGGTTGCATCGTTATACAGCCATTGGAGCCCTACTAATATGCAGGAACAACCCCAGGGGTGAAGCGGAACCCAGGTGTTCTAAATAAACATTTGGTATGGAAGTGTCCACATCTCAGCAGTAACACTTGGTCACAAATAGCTGGCTATCATGTAACTGTTGGGTGACCCTAACCGAGACAGCTTCCGTGTGACTTTCATTGTCCCGCGTCATAATCTGACTCGGCTTCAGAGCCGCTTTTAACAGACGTTGCGACCAGCATATATATGACAGCAATAGCGCCACTAATGCAGGCTGGGAGTCTTGAACCAAATCACCTTGTACTCCCCCCTCAGACCTTGTGCCAGATTTAGTAATACCCTTCTCACTAAGTAATTTGTGGACATGCATAACACTAGCCCTACTGTTTGGGGAGCTTTACACCCGGTTACTGCAATGGTTAGTTAACCAATAATAATAATATGTATTCTCGATTTTATGAGTCATACCAAAGAAGACATGATCAGTTGCGACATCATTTTCCTTCTCTTTAGCTTCTCATTTTCCCAATGGGTTCGAGATCATTCGTTTGGTCTTTCTTTGCTCGTCACATTCAGAATGGAAACGACCAGTTTCGGCCTCATTTGTTACCATATATCACACATTTCGTGACCTGGGCTTACTTTGTCCTTTATTATCCTTTCGTATTTACTCACACACCTGTTGTCGTTTTCACTCCTTTGATACAATTAGTCCAACTAGTTACAGGCTATCGCCAAATGGGTATGGTAACGTAAATTTGCTCAAAGTCAAAATTTTATACTATTGTTCTAAAACTAGTAGTTACCCACGCTAGACTATAGTGCTTCCCACTTATTGGTTGCTTTGTTTGGGGTCTCCCGTCTCTGGGGCTGCAGATCTGTCCCCTGCACAATAATTTCGTGTAACGATGGACCAACTCCCCAATCCCAAGGCTGCCAGCATCGTGGCGATGTCGGTCTGGGCAACCGCGAAACTCCATGCCCAATGTTTCAACGATTTTCTTCCTTTGTTAATGCTACCCTCGGTCGACGGGTTGACAACCGAACACGCTGTATTGCGCTCTATCGCACCATAGTTCACTTACTTTATTCCACGTTTGTTTAACTCCCTCCTCGTTGGTAATCTCACTCCGTTTCTGAGTCCACAATACCATGCCGCTATGGGCGAGTGTTCTTGCCATACGAATCAGGGATTCAGATTCAAGAGTGCGCTGCCAAGTAGTACTGCCAAGCATCTTCTAGCGCCCCGTTCTCATTTCAAGCTGGCAACTTTTAACGTCCGGACGCTGCTGGTGCTCGAATCACAAGCGGTCGTTGCTCGCACACTTGAGACTACTTGCATCCATGTCTGCTGCCTCAGTGAAATCCCATTACAGAACCCTAGCACGACGCTACGGCTTATTTCATCGTCCGCAAGTTCCACTGGCATTTTTACACTGCGCTTATCTGGAGACACAACTGCCGAAGTTGCTAGTCTTGCCCGTATTTGGATTGCATTGAGCACACGTGCTTAGGACTCGCTACTAGACTGGATCTCTGTCAATAGTCGACTGCGCGATCCGAATTGAGACCTCAGTGCGCTTTTCCAGTGGCGGGACTAGCAGACGTTTCTTGTTCATTTTAGCAGCGTACGCTCCCACAGACTGCAGCCCGGAGTCAGTTAAAGACGAGTTCTACTGTCGACTGTCCGGTTTTCTTCGCTTGCAGGGGATTTAAACGCGTAGCTTAGTAGACTTGAGGTTGAAGAGCGTGAACTCGTTGGTCAACATGACCATGGCACTCGCAGAACAGACAACGGTGATCGCCTACTTCAGCTCTGCGCCGATCACGGCCTCTTTCTGTCGAGTACTAGCTTTCGGCAATCCTGGCACCAACGCGCGACCTGGAGGCCTCCGTCACCTAGCCAGCCATGGACGCAAATTGACCACATCGCCATCAGTTAGTACTGGCGGGACTGCATACAGGATTGCAAATCAATCTGGAGTACTTACCTCACTTGTCTGTGCCACCATAACTCACCGTTTTGGTAGCTAACAACAGTGTTGCCGGAAACGTCTTGACGTGGCTAAGCTTCCTGCCCCAAGCGTTCTCAGCGCGTTTCAGGATGCGATCACCTCAAATCTCAAATGCACCTCATGTTCTGTTGTTGAAACGCACTGGGCACGCATTCGTAGCGCCATGCACAATTCTACAACCCTTGTCTGTGGTTTAATCAGTAATCCTGTCAACCACTACATCACTGCACGTTCTCTCCAACTTCTCGTAGGTCGTCGGGCATTTCCAACTAGCGTTGAGTATCATTCACAACACATAACCACTAGCGTTGAAGCCAAACACGTCCCCCGGGGTGATCTCGAGGCCTGATAGACGC